TGAATAAGTATGGTGAAAGAACACAACCTTGTCGCACACCTTTCCCAATTTTAAAACATTCAGTGTTCCCATGCTCTGTTCGAACAACTGCTTCTTGATCCAGGTACAGATTCCTCAAAAATACAATTAAGTGTTCTGGAATACTCTTCTCAATGTTGTCCATAGCTTGTCATGATCCACACAATCAAAAGCCTTTGCATAGTCAATAAAGCATAGGTACACATCTTTCTGATATTCTCTGCTTTCAGCCAAGATCCACCAGACAACGGCAATGATATCTCTCCTTCCACGGCCTCTTCTGAATCCAGCTTGAACCTCTGGAAGTTCTCTGTCAATGTAGGATTGTAGCCATTTCTGTATTACCTAAAAAACAAAAAAGACAGAAACCGTTAACAAAACCAAAATGAATACCTGAAGAAACTCAGAAACTTGCACTTTAGTGTAGAACACATAAAGTAAAAGGAAGAAATGATGAAGTAAAAGAGGTGAACAGAATATTTCAAAGGGCAGCTCAAGAAGACGAAGTATGAAGTGTACAGAGACCTTAAGTTAAAAACAAACAGGGAAGAACAAACAAGATGGCGGATCGGGTGGAAGTGCAGTAAAGGAGCTCCGCCAGCAACAACACAAAATACCTGACCAAGCAGGCTCAGGGGATGGTCCCAGAATTCTGAACCACATATAAAGGAATATTTAGAAGGTTAGAAGGCTTACATCTGGGGGAATTTGTGGCAGAAGTAAGAAATCTATTGCTTTCTAGTCCGGGACACTCAGCTGCTCCAGGAGCCGCCATCTTGAGTGAGACCATGTGGGGGAAGGATCAGAGCGGCCACAGATGCCTGGCAGAACCCTTGAGATAAAGGTGTGGACATTCTTTTAATATCTATTCATTGGTCCCTTGCTATCTGCACACCACCATTCAGGTGACTATAGGGGTGCCTGAGCTAGTGGGTACCCCAGCCTCACCCTTGGAGGGTTCTACTACGCATGCGCACAGATCTCCTCA